GTGGCAAAATAATGACCATTAGATTTAGGGCATTTGAGTAGGATTTTAAATATAATTTGTTTGTATGGTTATTGATGCCAATTACCCTATAACAAACTAAAATTTAATTTAAGCAAGCCAATCTTTTCATGGTTGGACGGTAGATTTCAGCCAACTCACACTTTTAAAATTTTTGGGGCGGTGTAAGAACCCACCGAATTTCATACTTTCGGTTTCGGTGATTTGATTAAACAATACTAATTTAAATTTTTGAGGAATTAAAGAACAATATTGCTACTCTCACATTTTTTTGTTCGTTTTATATTAATTCTTGTTTTCGAGTTTTGGATATTGTCGAAATAGAGATAAGGACTTACGGCACCGAAGCAGAGACCAGGAACAAGTCCTTTGTTGAAGAATCCATAGTGCAGAAGAGCAATCGCAGGAACCGCGTTCACTATAGCAAACACATCGTTTAACTCAAACGCTCCTTCTCTTGGTTTGTGATGAGACTACCCACAAAACAAAACCAAAACAGAACCCGATTAGAAATCACAAAAGAATATTTTGATTTTGTACGAGTAAACCGAAAAACAAAATATTCCAACTACCTCATGCATGTTCCATAAAGAAGCGTGCCAAAGAGCTCTATGAGCCCATCTTGCCCAAAACTCCATCCCAACCTTTATAATAAATCCAAACAACTTTTTCTTTACAAAAGACAGAGCTTACCGAAAAAATCAGAAACTATAGGAAGAAAATGGAACTTACGGCAGCACCAACCGAGAGAGCAAATGTACCAAACATCTCTGATACCGGCACTTCACCCCCCTAATTCCAAACCAATAATCGAGAGATTCAGCTAAATAATTTCTGGACTTTTTACTACCTACATCTTATTAATTTCAATATTCATATTGAAGCTCGTATGGTTTTTTTTTTGTTTTACCTTCATTTGCCATGAGAATCGGTAATAGACGGCCATAATTGCCATGGAAGTAATACCAAAGCTTGACATCACAGCAGCGATTAGATATGTGAATCTCTCTGACTTCTTCTTCTCCGCTTTCTTGAGAATCCGTGACGTCGCCAAGATCTCTGGAGAGCTTGTGCTTTCTGGTATGTCATCATCCATGGGAGAGCTCTGTTCACGTTCTTCAATGACGAAACAAACGGTGAGGATCTTTCGCCGTCTAAAGCCGTTGAATCGGAGAGACGGAGGGAAAACGGCGTTGAAGATAGGGTGATTGATGCGAGAGTTAGAGGAGCAGAAAGAGCGGTTGAGTGGTTTGAGTGTTACGGCGATTGATGAGAGTCCTGTCGCCATAGAAGGAGGAGCTCGTCGAGGTTTTATGAAACTTGAAAGAGAGAGATACAGAGAAAGCTGTGTCGATGATGTGTGGTCAAGGTTCTAGGGACAAGATTTAAAAGCAGAGAGGCCACAATTTTTTTGTTTCAGGTTGTGGTCTTTTCCGACTTTTTTTTTTTTCTTTTCAAGGAGTTAAATTACATTATTTGTTTTTACAATTGTAAAATATCCTATTGGTTTGAATATAATTTAACATTTATTTCTT